CCGCTGAACGGGAGCCGATTAAAAGCACCAACCGGAGCAAATTCAAAACTCTTCATCAACAAAGACCATGATTACCCAGAAATGACCCAGATTATCCAAACACGGTTCAAACTTTGACTTTAACACACGACAATCCATAATTATTGAGCTGACGTCTCGTTTTTAACCCTCACGTGGCACAAAGGAGCCGAACTCCTGAATCAAAGTCCTGTTTGGAATCACTTCTGGAAGACGGGGTTGTGTTTTCTCACACAGCTGCTCGTCTTTCTGTCAACAAGGAGAATTTAAATCAGCGCTCCAGCTGCCCGTCAACCAAACCGGTAAAAAAACACGCCTCCCACTTGGCAGCTTTTTTTTTGCACGTATACATTAAAACTGTAGAAAAAAAAGCATGTCGAGTGAGTGTAATGTAATTTAATCTACGCCCACATGCTCGAGCATAAATCAATGGCTCTGTTAAGTGTTTGGAGTCGTGCTGAGAAGATCTGGCCTCTGCTGAAAGCGAGCAAAACTCAAAAGATGTGGAGCTTAAAGCCGACGCAATATTGATAAATGTACAGTCCTTCAATCCTCAGATACAGCGATCATAATAACCGATACAACGGCAAATTATGGTCCAACACAAGCAGCTAATATACGAGTAATGACAGCGCTGACACTCTTTCTTTGGCTCTCTCACTCTGCCGTCTGAGAAATGAGAAGCCCACTTTAATCGATTTGAACACACCTGTTCGGCAGCAGAACCGCTCTCATCTCTCTCCAAGCAATTACATGATCAAAGACGGAGAGCGCAATCAATGTCTAAAGTAATTGGTCTTAGCTGCCATGCAACCCTGTTAGAAAACTATTATAGCTAACTGCTGTTCTGGTCACCTCAGCAGCAGCTGTCCAATCACATCAGGCTGAGAGGTTTCCCCAGCGTTCTGCCTCCCGAAGCCGCCGCTTTAGGATTTATCAGCCGGAATCAGACGAGCTGACTCCACAGCGAGGCCCATCCTTATGACTTACGGCGTCTTGATTAACCCGGATCGTAATCTCGTCACACGTTTGATCCGCGGGCCTCGTCCTCCCAGAACATGTGCTGATGGAAGAAGAAAAACTACACGGAGCTACGACGGCCGGAGGCGTGACACGGGCTGAGCTAAANGCTTTTACATTAATAACTCTGTCATATTATTCAGTTCTATGATACGTACTGATATCATGGTTAAAGGACTGATTCTAATGATCGCCTTTACTTCTGATGACTTTGTTCATTTTGCTGATAACAGACCGTTTTCCTTCCACTGTGACTTAAAGGATGAACACTTCCTCTATCTGTACGTCTGAACGGACTCGTCCGACCCTCCGGCCTCTCATCCTGCCACCAGATTTTGGGCCCGTCTCTCTTTCTCCTGTCCTGGCCGCTGTTTGTATGAATATTAGCGATGAGTCTGAGCAGCGTCTGTAAGTGCTGCAGCGTTCCCACTAAGACGCTCATAAAAGATGTATGAAGGTGGAGGATTTGTGAATCACACACTCACTCGCTCACACATGGAGCTAAACAGCTTTTGACCGAAAGCCCGACCCGGAATCACTTATTCCAGAACACCGAGTCCCGTCGATACCAGTAAACTATGACT